ACGTATCACTTATATACATGTATACACCCGTCTCAAGTGAAACTCTGTTTCTCATTTACTCCTCCTCTTTGTTGCATGTTTCGGCAGTATCCGGCCATCGCCAGGCAACGTTTATCTCGCTGAAACGGTTACAATTTGTTTTCCACCGTGTTTAAAATGAATTAGTTCAAATTTAAAATATGTCAGTGTCGTTCCATTTGTTCTCATTCGTTCACAAAAGATATTTGCTTGAGCGCGCTATATATGTCGTTATGTTTTCATTCTGCGACGTCTGTGTTTTGCATGTTTTTAGTGTAGTTCTTACGGATGTCGCTGTCACGTTATTGTCGTTGTCATTATATGTTGGTTTGTATATTTCCATGGTGTTGGATTAGTTGAGTGTGTATGTCACAAGTATACAAACAAAATTATAGTAAGTGACACACTCAACCAATCCAACACCGTGGAAATACGAGTATACAAACCAGTGGACAGTATAATAACAAAGATAATGAAAATACGACACCCGTAAGAACTACACAAAACAACACGTAAAACACCGATGCCGCAGGAGGAAGACAGCGAGAGAAAACAACGACAAGTAACGCGCTCGAGCAAATAACTTTTATGAACGAATGAGAACAAATGGAAAGTCACTAACATATTTTAAATTTGAACAAATTCATTTTAAATATAGTGAAAAATACACTGTAACGGTTTTAGCAAGACAAAAGTTGCCTGATGATGGCCGGGTACGGCCGAAACATGTAGCAGAGTGGATGAGTAAATGAATAAAGTTTCACTTGAGACGGAAGTATATGTGTGTATAAACAGAATAATGATATTAATACTGTAATATTTTAATGGCACAATAAACTGGTTAGCTAACGCCATGGAGCTGAGGCCTTCTTGAGAAGATAACAGTTGCTCATCCATTCAAGAAACTGCCAGCATTTCATGTACCCAGAGACTAACTACTGTATTTACTGTGTTTGTAAGAGCCAATATTATTCTTTATACAAAGCCATAAGAATAGTTCCATACCTCTCCCATTCAATATCCTTACTGTTTTATAATTTTCTTTCCTTCTCCCAAAATAGTTGAGTGTGATGTTTACAATTTAAAGAATGCATTCGTAAAGTTGGAATCCAAGGAAAGAGTTAAGCCGCAAGCAACACAACGTTACTTTCACGTTACAAGTAAGAATTAATAAGCTCATCGTTATTTTAGTCTTCAGAAAAACAATCTGGCCATGTAGCATTACTTTCAAACTCTCTTTTATTTATTGTATTACGTAGTTTTCTTAGCTCAAACTTCCTCAGACAAACAATGCATAGACAGAAGTAAATTAAAGTCTAAACAGTTCTATTTCAACAGTTTCAATAAAACTGATACACATAACACACATAATATATGATAAGCAAAGCTGAACACCAAATACGCTGAGGTGAAACGTATTTACAGAGTAGATAATGAAAAGTTCAGTCCAGTGTGACATACAAGTTTACAACACTTCATTCCACATTCGCCTTACATGTTTCGATTCAAAAGAATCATCTTCAGAGGCGCACCACTACGATAAGGAAACACTGTCACATAAGATATTCTAACAATATGCACTTTAGATATGACTAATGCTCTCTATATAAATTTTGTAATCAGGGTTGGTTCCGATGTTTATCTTAGGCACTCACAATGGCGCTTCTTGAAGTGTAGATTTACTTATTATGAGTTTCTTTTAGTGTATTTCCTGGTTATTCTCACTGGAGTTAAAATTGTATTAAAATTTCCATGTAAACAATTAGTTATTATATTAAAATATCTTGAGCCGACATTGGGTCATGTTGTTTTCCTCCTGATGGTGGGACACAGCACGCACGTGAACTACACTACTAATAATAATAACATAAAACCAACAGATATAAACGACATCTCCCACCAGCAGGAGGAAAACAACATGACCCAATGTCGGCTCAAGATATTTTAATATAATAACTAATTGTTTACATGGAAATTTTAATACAATTTTAAATACATTGCGAGGCTACTGTATGGAAAAGTGAACACCATATTGCGTGCAGTGAAAAACTCCAGTGAGAATAACCAGGAAATACACTAAAAGAAACTCATAATAAGTAAATCTACATTTCAAGAAGCGCCATTGTGCGTGCCTAGGATAGATATTGGAACCAACGTGATAACAAAATTTATATAGAGAGCATTAGTCATATCTAAAGTGCATATTCTTAAAATATCTTATGTGACAGTGTTTCCTTATCGTAGTGGTGCGCCTCTGAAGATAATTCTTTTGAATCAATACATGTAAGGCGAATGAGAACTGAAGCGTTGTAAACTCGTATGTCACACTGGACTGAACTTTTCATTATCTACTCTGTAATTAATAGTGTGACGGGCCAAAATGAGACAAGTGAAACGTATTTCTTGAAGACACCATAAAATGTGACTGGTCATTTTGTTAAATACATTTAGATCGTTTTACTGCACTGAACATATTAGTATTACTTAGAATTTGACCTTCTCATAGCGGTGGTTATCTCCTGGAATATAAAACTGGTTTCTTGCTTGATTTATTCTTTGTCCCTGAAGATGGAGGCGATATGTTTCAACGAAACGTCCGTTGACTTATTATGTTTCAAGATTGCATCTCTGTGTTATGCATACAATTATATATTTTCAGGTGTTATAATTCACTTTAATTCTGTAAACTGGTAGAGTAATTTCCGAAACTTTCACTTAGCGTAGCGCCTGGACGTCATGGCGACGCCTGGGAAACACCATGGAAAATTGACTTTATATGCCATCACTTCAACTAGGGAAGATCCTACGAGGCAAAATTCTTAAAATCATAATATGGAATGCTTTTATCAGCATAACTCAATTCAGTTTAATTATCATTTATGTGCCGAGTCAACAGCTAAAAGGCCAATTACAGACATAGCAGTGTACATAGAAGTAATTACATTATGGACAAACACAACATAAAGTCAAAGACAAATTACAGGCAAGCACTGGAGGAAAAGCACATTAATGCAGACAAGTAAACAAACAAAGTAACAATAATAATAATTCAGTAAAATATTTTATATCTTTGCTTGTTTACAAAATATCCCAAAGGCCAGTTATGAAATAGGCACCAGAAAAGATGAAATCAAGCAAACATATACATACAAATACAGACAAAGTGACTTGGACAATGATAAAAATTCAGTACGTTCAATTGAGCCAGCTATTATGCGGCGAGAAATAGCGAACATAGATTTATATTGTGTACAATTAATATTTTATTATGAAGAATGGACCATTATAAAATATGATTAAGAAAAATAGTGTGACATGTCTAACCGTTGCTGGGCAACGGGAGGTGGAACGAGTTACCACGAAGACAGACGCCCGATAAACGGTCGGTTGGCAAGTTACGCAACAGTGGTAACGAGGTTACGCGACAGTAAGGAAAGCGGTGTTTCTCCGAGCCGAAGCACGCTGTTTACTACACAGAAATACACAGCTCTCGGCAGCGTTCCCCAGCAACACCTGTAAACATGATGTTACGCAACAGTAGCTATCGCTGTTTTCTCTGTTGTCAGTGCGGAAGCTACTAGAGTAGTGAGTAGTGAGTATTGAGCCAGTTACTAGAGAGAGTAACCAGTCAGTTGCAGTTTAGCATTCGCCGGAGTAAACGGAAGCAGGAGAAGTAATTGTGATACTGCAGATGGCAGTACTGATGTAATTGTTGATTCTGTAACTGTGAGAGCGGGTGTTCAATAGATTCGCTATATCCAAGACGGCGTGAAGTTATCTGTCCCGTGACATATACCCAACACGTGACATTTGGCTTTAAATACTCCCAGCACCTCTGCAAATAACGTTATTAGATGTAGCGTGTCCAGCAGAGGGACAATGTTTACTCGAGGAGCAGACTTTATACAAAGCGAAGCCTCTGATGTTTCAAGAGGGAACTTGACCAAGAGTTCATAATAATACGAATCTGAATTCAGTCATTTATTTTTACAGGTTAGTTCACATCTATATGGGCCAATTACAGATTTAACAGAATCAAATAAATACGAAATGAAGAAAACAACACACACAGCTACAGGAGAAATGCATTTCACAAATCCATTTCGCTGTATCTTCACCAGTCATTGCCTCGTGACGGGTCCCAACAATGTCCTCTGGCTCCGTGCTCTCGTTGATACTAGCTGACGACTGCCTCACAACAAACTCACTGCTCCAACTGGCGATACTCAACTACATGACTCTCACTAATTGTCCTGCTTATAACATTTCGACACTGGCCGCACGGAAAAAATCGTTCCCGTTGCTGTTTTAAATTTTTGCTATGCAAACATGCTTGTTTGCGAATGCTGTTTTATAGCTGCTTATTTCGCTGTTATTGCCTAGCAACGGGTCTAAATGCCACTATATATATAGTCATCAACTAATGCTGCAGGATGCTGAAATACAATATTATGAACATCGATATATGTATATTATTAACTGTATTTCAATTACGCATTGGTTGGTTAGAGCCGATCACAATTGTCGGCCAGTCTATGGTATGAACTGTCTTCTCTCGCTTGGACGATGGGGTCGTGGTTCGAATCCAATACAAGGCATGGATGTCTATGTGCGTTTATTCTGTCTGAGATGTCCTGTGTGTAGGTAGCGGCCTTGCGTCGGGCTGATCACTCGTCGAAGGAGTCCTACCGACTGTAAAATGATTACGAATCTGAAGGTGAGGCCAGGGCCCAACAATGGACTGTAGAGCCATTGATGAATGAATGAATGTTCTTTTATTTCTAGTGGGGTGGGACTTCCCTTGTACTGCGGCCACTTCTGGCCTATTGTAGCAGCCCCAAATGATAGGTGAGGGTGATTATGGAGCAATTGGTGGAATGAAAATTGGCAGGGGAAACCGAAGTACTCGGAGAAAAACCTTCCCAAGCGCCATTTTATCCATCACAAATCCAACTTGACCAGACCCAGGATCGAACCCGGGCTGCCGCGGTGGGAAACCAGCGACTAACCGCTTGAGCTATGGCGCGGCCTAATGAATGGGTTAGTTCGAATACTGGGCGCGGACAGAACGCTTATGAAAAGGTGGAAACATGCTAATTAACAAGAGCGGTGATTCATTAAATTTACCTGCATTTTAGCGAAAGCTTTCCAAAGGAAAGTTCCGAAAGGAAAGCCATGACAGATAATCCAATGCCAATGAAAAGAAAAATGAAAGCCCCTTGCAAGTGAGACACGTTCAGTTCAATATATGAATCTTTCAGAGATTCTAGTTCTAAAATCCCTGCTTTCATTCGTGTCTCTTCTATTATGGCTCGTAACCAATAGTCGGACAGACCGGCTTCAACTATCCTTGTGATAATTTCGTTCACCAGTTTGAGAAGAGGACTTCCTTTCTGCATCATCATTACTGCATGCAACTGAAAAGAATCCTCTCGAAAGGGGTGGACTTCATGCCTGTTTTTCTTCTTCAGAAATCCTTCACGGTGGTAACCGAGAGGGACTCTCCCCATAAATAAAGCAGTGTTATACACAGTCGCTACCTTTTCTAGGCAGCTTATCGGTTCACACAGAATCAACGGCGTTAGTCTCTTTAACATGTCGTCCGTAAAAAAACACTTTAATGCAGGAGAAATTGCATAAATTATTGAGGCCTGTAAGAGTTCCTCAACTGTGTCCAACTGGTGGTGTAGGCCAGGGTCCACTTCGTAACTCGTAAAAAAAGCCTGAAATACTGTGTTCGTGGCCAATGAATATACCATCCAAGAAAGAAGCAAGATACGCAACGTGTCGGTACGAGGCATCTCAGGTACTCCTGCGCCCAAAAAGGTAGCCCATGTTGTTAGAATGCACTTCATAGTATCCCATTTGTTATACGAGTAAAAATATTTTGACTTTGCTAAATACTTCATAATAAATCCCATAAGGAAAACAGCCATAAGCAATAATAACCATGATGAGGGAGTAAATACTCTGCCCATACTTAACCATCGGGGATAAGGCGTTGCTCGAGCCACCACCCAGGTAAATCCGTCAGTATGATATATATTTGTATTATCAAATTCAATATAGTCATAATAATTAAGCAGAAAACATCCTATTACAATGTCTGCTTTGTCGTATATTAGCTCAGCTTTCAGTCCAGTCCACGTTCCATTTGGAAGATGTTGTCCTTTCCTTTCGTTCCCTGAAGGTACCCTGAACAACAGCGAAGCGTTCAATTTCTCAGATATAATTCTCAAAACTTGTACATCCAGACCTCCCCTGATAGTCTCATTTCCGTGCCAAATTATATATGGACGAAACTTAATTGCAGATGCCCTGAGGATGCAACCATGCAGATCACGTGGTATTCTGTCAGTGTATAGTGTTATGTTGCGTAAGAAAAATCCCGTATCGTATTCCCGAACCCAAGTATCGAGATGAACAACATCCAGGAGTAGTCCACATCGTGTCGAGGGCAAGTAACGTGGAAACCACGTGTATATTTCAACCGTTGTATGTGTTGAAGGATATAAGAAGATGACGTTAAACGCCTTAAAGCGCCAAAGATATTCTACAATAATCTTCAGCCCTTTACGTATATCGTTTGAAACGCAACGACGAACCACCACCAAGAATCTTGCTCTGGAGTTCCATGCTGGGAAATTCTTCAATTGCATGATCGTCTCTCTCACGAAATCAAATGCCGCTTTCCAATATCCGTTTCGACAGCTCAGTATCAGGATATAACTGTAGTGTTTGTCGTCTGTGTTAGTCCAAGCATATGAGTTATATCCCATTACATTTCCTGTTGGGCGATGTACAGTTATCGGCCAGCGACCAATCGCATTCATGCTTTTTATCACATTGTTTTCAATGTCGACGATAGTTTCAGTGGCAGGGTTCTTACGGGTTTCTTCAGTAAAGGACGAGGAAAACACGACTGTTCGTCCAGCGATGAAGTACCGGACACTGACCCTTGCGATACAGTCTGCCAGAAGATGAACGGGCTGACCGACGTGCAGTGCTTCCAGTAGACTTGCCACCCACATTGGAAGCAGTAAACAGAATTTCTGTGACATAACGGTAAAAACAAATTTTGATTACTCCAAGGTATATTTCTTTCCGTGTTTCCATTACCAGAACAAGTTAATCTCTTATATTGATTTTCAGAAATAACATTTGGACTTGTGAAATAGGACGTAACAAATATTATTATTAAAATAAATCTGTTCCTGGGTTTTATTAATCAAACACCACGCCATGAAGACGTTTGGGGGAGTGCAGGTATAGCTCTGCCATTCTCGACCTCCACTCTGGATGGAGGTGAGTGGTCAGCTTTACGTCCCGGCCGCTTTACCTCTGAGGAAAGGCTCCTGGTACCCATTCAATAGAAAGTTGGGTAGACGTCAGAGCCCGACTTTAACTCTGTGGAGGAGAGACAAACGTCTTGCCCATACCGGGAATCGAACCCGCACCTCCGGATCTGTAGCCAGGAACTCTGACCACTAGACCACGAGGCGGTACTATCACTACTACTACTACTACTACTACTACTAAGAAACAGGCGATGAACCAATTTAGATGGACAGGAGAGAGCTGGCTTAATAATTATTCAGTATCAAAGATCTACTTACAAGTGTGCAGTAGTGCGACATGCTAAGCGTTCGTGTGGACTTATTCTACAAAGTGAAGTGTGGTCCAACAGAAATTTGTATTTAGTTTAGTAAAACGTCATTTCGACAGGTTCTCACAATGTGAAAAGGGTCACGTAATTATTATAAAATTATGATGGGCCTACGTGATTTAAAGGGTTATTCGTGATTCCCGTCAGTGTTTTATCTATTTAGTTGAAACAGAGCGAAGTCAAGCTCTGGTATACATTCCTGTCAAAGACCCACCTGCAGGCTTTTCGAGAATGAAGTCCATGTTCTGTTTCTCTGTCTGACGATGGCATTATGTAACATATCTATAAATCAGACAGCGCTCACTGGTCTGGTAAGCACAACGGAGGCATCTGATTGAAATATCCTTCTGCCTGACTGGGCTCTGCAAATTTACTGTATTTCTACTCCCTACAGATACACAGTGGGGGGCATGCGGTACCGTAGTTGGTTGAGGCACTATGCTACAAGCCGACGGTCGTGGGATCGAGTCCCGATGAGGTAATTTTTTTTTCAATTTTCATTCCAAATGCACTCTGGTCCTGGGGTCAACTCCGCCTCTAACAGAAATGAGTACCAGGAATATTCTTGGGGGTAAATGACGGTAAAATTACAATTTTGTATTTTTTTAATACATCAAACGAGAAGGAAAAAAGGTTCTAACTGAATAGTAGCAAGCATTAACCGAATTTAATCCGCTCCTAATTTTTAATGAATCTCTACACTTACAGTCAGTTATAAAATATTCCTGTACAGTCAAGGGAAGTTTTGCAAATTATTTCACTAGCTGCAGCTACATTTTACAGAACACTCACGCGACTTATTTTCAAGAACTCTGCATGGATACAACTACATTCAAAATAATTTTTGAGCACTTGGGGACTTTCTTAGTGTAGACCGCGACCCACAGTTTGTTAAACGGTGTTTTTTTTTTAACTGCGATAATGGCAGCTCGCCGATATGTGCTACCAAACATAATTCGATATTACGAAAAATTACAGGAAAGCGGGAAGAGCCATCTAATAGCAGAACTGCGAACTACATACGCGATTGGCGCTTGAGGACGCCTAGTGATTTCTTGAGGTAACTACGGTCACAGAAAGTCACCATACAGTAGTTACATCTCCTGGGACATAACGTTGTGTAGTCCGTTGAAAGCCAACAGATGTTTCGGAAAGATATGTCTCGTCCATCTTCAGGATCGAGGAATAAGCAACCAAAAACTAGCAACCTGACTAAGGGCGGCCGCACACCAACTGCGTCAAGACAAGCATCAAGACTCGAGACAAAAGACGCAGTCTTGCTTCATTCGTGATTCAGACTCGAGTCCGCACCAAAGTAGCATATATCTGCGTCTTATCACATCTTCTCTAGTTGATGACATGACGTCATTACGTCGATACCGTGCACTGGTTCTGCTCCTTGAGTACTGATGCCTGCGTCTTGACGCACAGAAACGGAACATGCGGAATCTTGCTGCACGTGTCTGCAGCATGAAGCTGACGTCAGCATGACTCAGACCGGTGTGCGGCGGTTTTCATAATCTCATTCGTCATATCGCAGACATCGTGCCTTTATTGTTACATGTCTTGACGCATGCCGGTGTGCGGCCTACCTAACGCAGAGTAGAGTTTGCTACCTGCTTCATGGTTGTTTCTTGCTTGGTTTATTCATCGACCATGAAAACTGAGGCGACATATTCTTCCGAAACGCTGGTAGATTTTCAATGGAATACACTGTGTTATATCCCAGAAGAAAAACTCTTCGTAACCACCGCTGTGAGAACCTCAAGTCCTGCAATCGCCATAGTTTCGTATCTCCATCAGGTCATTCTACCATAAACAGACAGAAGCTTAATATTAAGCCATCAATGTACATTTTATGTAACAAAATATTACGTAGAAACGACTATTTTTTTTCCTATTTAATTCTTCAGAAATGTGTTAGGCCCTTTTTAGTTCGTCAGTGTTTATTAATAATTCATATCGAGGCTTATATTTGGCAGCACACGGGCCGCATACGGTCCGTGAAATTCTCCTTCAATTCCACCTAAAGTACGTTAACGTCACTCTCATTCTTAATATGGAGTCAAATACACTTTATGAAATATGCTTCCGTGAAAATTTTTAATCGAGTTCAAGCGACAAACCTTGAAAAACAAGGGACTGTTAAGGCTCAAGATGATATAAAATATCAATAAAATCTCCAGCAGAAAACCTTAGCATCTCATTTTTAAACATCGTGTCTTCTTCTTCTTCTTCTCCTCCTCCTCCTCCCCCTCCTCCTACTCCTACTCCTCTGGTCTCACGGTCCTTTTACTTTAGCCTTAGCCTCCCTTAGAATTTCCGTCCATTCTTCGATCTCTCCGGGGTTTCTGAACATTTAAATCTTTTAACGGGGCCAAGCTGTTAGCCCTGTCCCAACCTTCATCTCATTAAGGGCTCGGATATCATGTCGGGGTGTACTCCCTTAGCCAAAGGATCCCATGTTTAAGGCGCCGGATACTCCCCTCTGCTACACTCCCTGCTCTCACCACAAAGTGAACCCTGGGTCACCAACTAGGAGGTCCAGAGTGTGGATTTGCTAACAGAGGCTGTATCGCAGGTTTCTACAAGACACAACTATTGGCATCTGTGTGTTGTCCTGGGACCCAAGTTCCTCATCGCCTCTTAAAACGTCGTCTGCATCATAACATTTAAGTGTATGGGTCCAATTCTTGGAGTCGGGCTAGCTCAGTCGGTATAGCGACGGGCTACGGACTGGACGACCGGGGATTCATTCCCGGCAGGAAGAAAATTGTTCTCTTCTCCACAGCGTCCAGACCAGCTCTGGGGCACACCGACCCTCCTACCAGAAGGGTGCCGGGACCTCCTTTCTCCGGAGATATAGCGTCCGGGGCGTGAAGCTGCCCACTCGCTTCCATCTAGTGCCGAATTCAAGAATGATGGAGCTACAGCTGCACTCCCCTATAAGTCTTCATGGAATAGTTCATGTTTAATTAAGCACAGGGTCAATTTTACTTTACTTTCACGGGTACTGATGTGGTCGGAGCCGAGTTAGCTCAGTAGATGTAGTGACAAGGCTACTGCGCGGACAGCAGCGGATGGGCATTTTGTTTCTTTAGATCGTCAAGATATGTTCTTGGGCGCACCAAGCCTCCTTTGTTGTGAGTGTCTGGGGATCCTCCTTTAAAGACCAAGAGAATTTTCTTCTCCGCACTTCCAGTACGTCCCTGGGGCCCACTGTCTCATATCCATTGGATCCTGGGGGCCTGTCCCGAAAAACAAGAGATTTCATTTTTCTCCACAGCGTCGAGACTGCCCTGGGGGGCCAATGAGACTGGTATCCAAAGGTTCCAAGGGGCTCCTGCCTGAAAGAGAAGTTATTTCTCTTTTTCTAGACCGAAATCGGGGCCCATCTAGCTCTGTGTAACGTAACTATGATGAAGTTCGGATGTAACGTGGTACAGTCCGGCGACTTCGCCTGACTACACAGCTTTGTATCCCAGGAGATAGAACTCTTCATAAAATCCGCTGTGAAAAGTGAGAAGTTGGTGGAAGGAATCCTTAAGGACGAAAAATTATTAAGGAAAAGAAAATATTTATTCAATTAAAACTGCCCTAACACCAGATAAACCTTCAAAAGGAGATGCAAGAAATGTTCAGCTTCAAGAGTTAATATCTGTTCTTCCAAGAAAATTGCGTCATGTGTTTTTAAATAAACTGCTATAGCTTGTTCCGTTATTTCCACGAAATTGTGATTCATCTTCCCATTCCCAATTCTTAACGAAACAAAGAAATACGACTTACATAAATTGACGGGCCGCGCCATAGCTCAAGCGGTTGGTCACTGGCTTCCCACCGTGGCGGCCCGGTTTCGAGCCCGGGTCTGGTCAAGTGGGATTTGTGGTGGACAAAGTGGCGCTGGGGCAGGTTTTATCTGAGTACTTCAGTTTCCCCTGACAATCTTCATTCCACCAAATTCTCCATCATCATAATCACCCGGGGCGGGTACAATAGGCCAATAAGTGGCCAACGTGCCGAGTGGACCCAGCTGGACTACACCCCCCCCCACTATGAGAATTTACATAAATTGACAATAAAACGTCAATTGCTGAAGTAGACTGTCGCATTGGTATCTCTGTCGGAAAGGAGGATGAAAGCTGAGATATAAGTATTTGCTAGAAAAAGCGCGAGTGTCGGGCACCTTGCTATTTACAGCATCAGTACAAACAAAAAGTAATTTCTGCGATGATTCATTGGTCTCACATTTCACCCACCAGGTGGCAAGGATTTCTGTGGCTGCCTGAGTAGAAAACAATTAGCTAAGTCCTGCTACTGAAACCGAGCGATCCATCTGCAGTGACTCAGAGTGACGGAACTCAGCACCCGGCCCTAACGTAGGGTCATAGTTCGCAATATGGATAGGATTTCTGTGAAAAATTGGTTGTCAGTTGGGCAACAGTCCTTTATTTTATTTAAACAAAATATGCATTGCCGTTTTCAGAAATTTAAGCTATTAGAACCGGTCTGGAAACCTTAGAATACAACCCAAATCAAAGCAACTTCCTTCTCTTAGATCCATTTCAATACCATCCTATCCGTTTCTTCGTTGACATTTTCCGACTATTCATTCATTCATCAGTAATCTGCCAGACGACAGATCCACAGTCTCTTCCAAAACAGTTCCTCCACTTAATGCGATCTAGAGCTTTCTCCTTCAAACGAGACTATCCTCTTCTGCCCCCAAGGTCATCCAGCATCTTTTTATGTCTTCTGGTCACTTCTATCCGCCCCTCTATCTTTCCTTCAATAACTTCTTTGAGAAGGCAGTTACCGCGTAAGATATGACCAATCCAATTAGCCTTCCGTTTTCTTATTTCGTGTAGGATATCCATCTGCTCACTGACTCTAATTAACACTCCTTCATTTCTCACATAATCGGGCCAACTGATCTTCTCCATCCTTCTCCAACACCACATTTCGAAGCTTTCCAGGTGTTTCTGATCTACTGCCCTAAGTGTCCAAGTTTCAGCCCCATACAAAGCCATGCTCCAAATGTAGCATTTCACTAGTTTCTTTCTCAAATTTAAGTTCAATTTGCTGGTAAAAAGATTCTTCTTCTTACTTAATGCAGCTTTTGCCATGGCAATCCTGGATTTAATTTCACTAGTACACCTTCCATCATCTGTTAACAAGCTACCCAAATATTTAAAACATTTCACAGTCTCCAGTTGTTTTTGGTCTATCTTTATTGTGACTGGGGTTGGTTGTCTCGAAATTTTCATTACTTTTGTTTTCTCCACATTCATTTCCATGCCATAGCACCTTCCAATTTCGATTAGTCTATCAGTCATACCCTGTAGCACAGTTTCTTCCTTAGCTATTAACACAAGGTCATCTGCATATTTCACAAAGAAACCAGCTCAGCCAAGAACCAGAAGACGACACGTGAGAGATGATGTAGTCAGGTCGCTTCTTCTGGAAAACTTTATTTCAGAGTGACTGTAATTAGGATTGTAAACGAGTTATCCAATAAACAGGTTCACCTAATCCAGAACCCATTCATCTCTTGTCGCTTTACCTAGATACGTGACAGTACTTACGGTATCCATACGCCGGATGGAATTTCAGGCCTACTTATACATACTTTTCTTTCGTAAGGTTGCCTACACAATGCATTACGTACCTTGGTGCGTAGAGTGGATAACTTTAGGGCGATTTGAGGAATGAGAACCCTCACAACAGCCGGTGTCTCTACTGCGATTCCAACCGAGAACCTCCCGAATGCAAGTCTGGAACCTTATCTACGTTCCAAAGTGTTCAATGAAACGATATTATTTTAAGAATTCAGTCAAAGTTTACACCTTTCGGATGTTGTGTAAAGGAGCGTCCACATTTCTCGTGCTCGTGTGACTTGCTATGCTCGCGAGTAATGTGGACGATATGACAAGTCACGAGAAAAGCAAATTTTTAATTTTTAATTTAAAAACTATAGACAATAAATTAAAATACGACTACAGCCTATACACACTACGAGTAAATATACGGATCCTCACGCGCCGAAGCCTGGCGAGCAACTGAAGTAGTGTGGACGAAGATTTACGAGCACAAGTAAAAGCCAGACGAGTGTCCCGAAGAACACAAGCCTGGCGAGCAAGAGCACGAGCACCAGTAATGTGGACGCGCCTTAAGAATTTCGTTTCACCATTTATAAGAAAACCGTTTTATGAATGGAACACGGCGTAACCGAACAGGACTGAAACGAGCAAGAACTGTGTATGAAGGTCAGAGTAACACATCATTCCATGTTGCCATTTTCTTTAATAACTCTCGACCAAAATATCGCGTGAAAATTAAACTAAATCTTTCTTTCGAGATTTTTACACAGAAATTGTTGCGCTGTATATTTGGCTACCATGGTTTTGGCACAGTCAAATAATTTGGCCAAGAGTAGATCCAACTTTACGATTACACAGCATGTTGAAAATAACTTGGCACCTGTAAACTTTCATAAACCTGCAGACTGAACTACCTACTGCTTGATAAGCTGTCACTCTAACATACTGCCTTCTCAACTAACAACTCCAATTTACAGTCTTAATTTAAATGTTGTTACTTGTTCGGCTGCCGACATAGTGGCCGCGCGGTCTCAGCATGAACAGTCTTCGTCCGCTTGAACGCTGGGGTCAAGGGTTCGAATCCCACTGGAGGCATGGATGTATGTGTGCATATATTGTGGATTTGTGTTATGTGTGTAAGTAGCGGCCTCGCAACTGGCTGATCCTCCGCCCGAGGAGGAATTAAAAAACTGAAAAGAGGCCAAGACCTAAATAAGGGCTGTAGAGCCATGAATGTATAAGGGGTGGGCCTTCTTGGCCCTTGCACCGTGACCACAGTGATCTATTGTGCCTAACTGTAGAGCCATACATAGATACGTGTTCGGTTGGTCAGGAAACTAAATGTGCTTGTGGAACTGGAAGTTCTTAGAGACACATTCACTTTATCTGCTCACTGGTCCGTATCAACCCGAGACAAATCCTGTGCCTTTTTTTCACAACCCTTACGAGCTTGGCATTCCAATATATTTCTTTGAGGTTTTCCGACCAAAATTTATTATGCATTTATAGTTTCTGCTATTATCTAGACTACATGTCCGAACCGTCTCATAATCCTTGATTCAGTCAAACGAACAATATTATAGGGTGTTTAAGAAAAGGGGAGAACTTGAGAGAACGTGAAAGGAGACCGGAAGAGAGTGAGCCCTGTCACAATTTGTACTCCCTGCCGTGTATTGTGTGTATGGTCTCCAAAATGTGGCTACGATAGGCGAAACTACAGAACTAACTAACTAACTAACTTCATGGAGCTGAGCCTCTCTTGAGAAGCCCCAGTTGTGCACCTAATCAAGAACTTCCCAATATTTTACGGAGCCCGAAAGTTCATTACCGTGTTCAAAAGACCCCTCCACTGTTCCCTAACCCCAACCAGATCAATCCAGTCCATACCACCCCATCCAGTTTCTCTAAGATCCATTTTAACATTATCCAGGCACCTAAATCTTGGTCTTCCTAGCGGCCTCTTTCCTTCTGCCTCTCCCACCAATATCATATATTTATGAATTCCTGGTTCTCCCATTCGTGCTGCATGCCCTGCCCATCTTATCCTCTTTGATTTGGTCATTCTAATTATATTTCGCAGAATTCAAGTTATGAAGCTCCTCATTATGAAGTTTTCTCCAACCTCCTTTGACTTCATCTCTCTTAGGTCCATATATTCTCAACACCCTCAATCTATGTTCCTCCCTTAATGTCAGAGATCAACTTCCACGGCCATACAAAACTAGGGGCAAAATTATAGTTTTATATGTTCTAATTTTTACGCTTTTACACAGAGGACGAGAAGACAAAAGGTTCTGGACTGAATGGTAGCAAGTATTACCCGAATTAAGTCTCCTTTTAATTTCCTCCTGAATCAGGTTTCGATTTGTTACTGTTGTTCCCAAATATCTGAACTGTGCCACATTTTCAAAACATGTTAGCTATCTTTATGCCATGATTTTGCCGGCATTCTGATGACGAGACAGCAACATTTACTTAGTTTTCTCAGTGTT